CTGTGAGGAGTCCCTAAGAGGTAATTGTATAAAGTTGCAATGGTGAAGCCTGGGTTGCAGTGGAGATTCTGAGATATTGGAGATGCCTGAGCTGTTAGATATCTGCCAAGTAGGGATGCATACAGGAAATGAAATGAGCCCAAGAATAAAATGTATGTTGTGGGCATCAAATCTGGAGGGGCAGAGCCATCTAAGGCCATTGAAGCTGAAGGCCATTACCAGACATGGAGCTGCAGGACTTGGTGTTTGCTCTGTTGGGCTTTGATCTTGCTTTGGTCCAGTCTTTCCTCATTCTGTTCCCATTCCTCACCTTTGCATGGTAATGTGTGTTCTGTGTGATTGTATGCTAGAAGTACATAATTTGTATTTTTATCTTGCAAGGAGTCACAGCTAAGAATTTACCTTGAGTGTTCAAAGAAACTTTAGACTTTCAAAGAGTTTGGGGACTGTTAAAAGTTATGAGGACTTTCAAAGTTGGACTAAATGCATTTTGCATTATGATACAACCAAGAACTTGGGGCAGGGGGCAGGGACAGAATATTGTAAGTTGAATGAGAACTGTCTCTCATAGCCTTATGTATTTGAACATTTAGAAACCTGTTGGTGGCACTATTTGTTGAGGTTGTGGGGTCTTTAGGAGGTAGTGCTTTGCTGGATGAATTACATCATGGTAGTGGACTTTGAATTCTTACTTCTTGTTATCTCTATATGCTTGATGCACATGAATTAAATGTGATCAGCTTTCTACTCCTGCAACCACGCTTTCCCTCAGTCTTCCTTACCATGATGGACTCTTCCTCCGGAACCCTAAGCCAAAATAAATCCTTCTCTCCTCTAAGTTCCTTTTGTCGGCATTTTATCACAGCAGAGAAAAGTAACTAGTGTACGTACTACACTGAATGAGAGTGGTGATAGTACATTCAGTTGCCTCTTTCCTGAATTTAATGGAAATACTTTCAGCTTCTCCCCACTCAGCATAGTGTTGGCTATTCACTTGCCACACAGAAACCTTGTTACGTGGCAAAATGATCATTTTATTTCTAGTTTCTTCAGTGTTTAACAGAAATGGATGTTAACCTTGGTGAAAGTCATTTTCTGCATCTGTTGACATGCTCATGAGATGTTTTCCCATGGATTATATCCATGTAGTGCATTACATTTATCATTTTGCACATAAATAACCACTCTCACATGTGTATAGCAAGTCAACTTGATCATGAAGTATAAACTTTTTACTGTGCTGGTGAATTCAGTTTGCAAGCATTTAGTATATTCGAATGTATGTTCACGAAGAAAATTTTTATATAGCGTTCAGTTGTTTTTGTTGTTCTTTTCATGTTTGAAGCTGTGTTAATAGCTACTTTGGAGAATTCAGAAGTGTTCTATTCCTTATTCTTTTATGCAGTAGTCTGAGGAATACTGATGCGAGTTCTTTAATACTTGGTAGACGTCTACAATGAATCACTCCAGCACTGCACTTTCTATATTGGGAGACAAACTCAAGCTTCAACATTGCACATGTGGGTCTAATAAGGTTGTTTAGATCATCCCAGGACAATTTTGATAGGTCAAACATGTTGAAAAGCTCATTTACTTTTTCCAGACTATATAATTCTTTGCAATATAAATTTTCAAATATTCTGTAGCGTGTCTCTAGATGTCAGCACTACCTATTATGATATTACCCCTGCCGTCTCTAACAGGATTGGCTTTGCTTTCCCCTCTCTTTTAGTTACTGTGGCCAAGGATTGTCTATCTTGCTTACCTTTACAAAGAACCAATGCTTTGTGTCACTGATCATTTGTATTGTCGTCTCTGCTTCCGTCTATTATTTTCATCTGTGACTGACATCTATTATTCATTTATTTATTATTAATTTGAGATTCTGATTCTTTTCTAATACCTCCAAGCGCATCATTAGGCTACTTATTTCAGGTCTTTCTGTTATTACAACTTGCACTCACAGCTATGAAAGGACTTCTTTGCTGTACCCCACAGATGGTAGTAAGTACTGTCTCACCTTCATTTACTTCTGAGAAGTTTTTAACTATTATCCCCATTTCTTCATCAGTCTCCTGATTTTCCAAAAACAAACTGCATATTTTTCAATATATTCATGTGCTTATATATTTTCTGCACTTTTCCTTGATGTTACTTTTGTTACTTTCTAATTCTATTCTATTATGATCTGATAAAATACAAACATATTTCAGCATTGTTTTTATTTCTTAAAAGTTTTGGGGGGTATTCTTGTGCTATTAGATGCACTTGTGTTTATTTGATCTGTGCTACAGTTACTCTGAAATTTCTTTGCCTTTTTATTGGGATATTGATCTGTTGATGACATAAAGGTATTGAAGTCATTCACTAATCTGACTCTTGACATATCTGTCCCTTTATGTCCAAGCGTGTTTGTTTTATGAATTTTGACCCACCAACATCTGACACATATATCAGTCTTTCCATCTTCTTGGTAGATTGCCTCCTTCATAAGTACACAGTGGCATTCTTCATTTCTAATGATCATGTTTTGTTTGATGGATCCTAGGTCAGCTATAAAGATAGTTACTCCTACTTGGTTTTAGAGTACTCCCTCTATAACTATATAGTGACATTCTTCATTTCTAATGATCACGTTTTGTTTGATGCATAATTGGCATCTGTAAAGATAGTTACTCCTGCTCGGTTTTTATTGTATTTACTTGGAAAATCATTTTCCATCCTTTCACTTTCCATCTGCATGTGTCTTTGCCAGTGAGGTGTGGTTCTGGAAACAACTAAGAGCTGGGTCCTGTTTTTACCCCATGGGTCACTGTGTCTTTTAATTAAATCAAGGCCATTTATATCTAGGTTATCTTTGACAGATTATATTAATTCTAACAATTCTGTTAAGGTTTTGGTGGTTATTTTGAGTAATCTTTGCTCCCTTTCCCCCTTCATTCTTTACTCATTTACTGAGTTGAAAGTGTTTGATTCTTTTTTTGTGATATTTTTATTGAATTTTTGTGATTTTTCATACAATATAATTTGGTGGGATTTACATACCCTCCCCTATTCCCACCTGTCCTTCTTGCCCCCACCTGATTTAATGCACTCCATTATGTATATAACAAGGCTATAGGGTCTAATGTGTGCCTCTGAAAGCCCTTCATTGTGTGTCCATCTACTGGAGCCTGGTTAACCTACCAAGAGTCCCATTCCTATAAGAGACTGTCTCTCTCCCTCCCAGCAGTCTTCTGCTACCACAATTATTAGGTGGGGTTGAAGTTTCTTACACACTTCTCCACGTCTATGCTGGGAGTTCTGGTTTGAGCTTGCATGAGACTTGTGCACTCTGTCGCCATTGCTGTGAGTTCATATGAGTAACTGAGCAGCTGTATGGAAAATTTTGTTTCCTTGTGGTTATCCACCACCTCTGGCTCTTGCAATTTTTTTTGCCCCCTCTTCTGCAGTGATCCCTGAGCCTTGGGTGAAAAGTTTGATATAGGCATTCTATTTAGGATAAGCACTCTGCAACCTCTTGTTCTCTGTGTGTTGGCCCGTTGTGGGTTTCTGTGTTAATCAACATCCATTGCATAAGGAAACTTCTCTGGTGAGAGCTAAGAGATGCATTAATCTATAGGCATAACAATAAGTTATTAAGAGTCAGTTAAATACGATAACTATTTAGTAGAAAACTAATACTGGGCTCTACCCTACGTCCTGTGATTGCTTTAGCATCAGGTTCTTAAGCCTGATATCAATATCAGATATTAATTCCATCCTAGGAAGCAGACCTTAAATCTAAGTAAGGAGTGGTTGGTTACTCCCATGTTGTTTGTGCCACTGTTGTGCTGCTGGCATATCTTGCCAGTTCCATTTTTATTCTAGTTCACAGGATTCACAGCTGGTTAACAGTAATGATTGTTTTTTCATTCCAGTAGCTTCCACAGAATCTTCCAGCACAATGAACTCTAGCCAGTAGAGATGAGGCTCTGAAGTCAGCACCAACTTGATTTCTCCTTGTTTGCTCTACAGCTCACGTGTGTGGTATATTCAGCAATGGGGTCTTGTCATTCGGTTCCTGTGGGTAATCAAGAGCAGGGGCAATGACCAGTATTATTTAAGCATCTATGGGATCCCTGGTCAACAGCTTCTAAAGAGGGAGTCCATTCCTGGCATTGAGCTGTTTTTTATTTAGCCTATGAGCTTTAGAAATGACAATGTCTCTCTGTTATAGGATAACTCCTTCTCATCTCTTTTTATGATGTATACGTATGTACAAAGCTTCTATAGTGGTAGGCTCCCATGTGGCTTTTTTTAATGGCCCTAGTGTTACTTACCTCTCCCTATGCTCCCTCGTCTGTCCTGTCCTCCCGTTCCCTTCCCCGTTTAACCCTTTCAGGTCTTCACGTTCCCCTTTCCCCTTCTTATCACTCCCCACTGGATACTGCTGAAGACTGACCTATGGTACTTTTGAATTACGTTATTCTTTGATACTCTAAGGACAGAATAAATTCCAATTTCAAAAACTTTCACAATATTCAGAGGGTAACCACAGTTTCAGCCTAACATTAAGGAGTGATTATAGGATTTGGTGGAAATGGTGTTGGAGAAGATAGGAAACGGAGACTCAGGTCAGAAGGACCAGTGTAGCTAGAGGTGGGTGGCCAAGTGGTTCCTGGTGAACTCATGATGTGGCACTTCCAGTAGCATTTTGGAAGCAGAGGACACTGAGTCAGGGTTAGTAAGACATAGCAGTAACTTCATTAGGGAGCATATCAAGCTCCCCGTATACCTGAAATTTTCTCAACAAAAGAAACCACTCAGAACCCTGAGGCTCACCCTTGGCAAGTGACCTCTGCACCAGTGTGATTTTATTAGCAGTCCCGTAGACCATTGCTTGGAAGAGAAATTTTTCCTTGTGCTTTACCAAGTTGTCTGTTTTGCATTTACCAAATATCCCCAAATCTTTGGCATTACAACCAAAAGTCTAATGGGCGTCTGTACTCTTCTTACAGCTCCTGGTATTCTCACAAGTCTTGGACGCAGAACAGAACAGTACCAATGCCTCAGAAATGGAGGATTCTGTCTCCATTCCAGTTGCCCTTCCAATACCAGACTCCTGGGCACCTGTAAACCAGACAAGCCCCACTGCTGTATGAGCTGACGGTGGTTGGAAGAAGGAACACGGAAGACCAAGTGAAGGATGTAAAATTAGTATTTTAATAAAGGAAACATTTTTTGAAGCCTACCTACTTCAGATCAAAATGAATCTTATGTATCCGTTTAGAAGAGGCCAAGATAATTGTAGGCTAGGTCATGGAGCCTGGAGCAGAAGGTGGTAAAATCCACAAAGCCTGACTTGTCCTGAGTAATGAGGACCATGATCTGAGTGATATCACCTTTACTTGATTTCACCACCAAAGTACAGGTGTCCAGTGGAGATGGGTCACAAGGGACTGTGGAGAGTGAACACGGCTGCCAAGCCTCCTGGGGCCTGAAAGAAAATGATTCCCCTTTCAGGGTGTCATCCGTTTGCTCAGTTAGGCTCCACCTGCAGGTCCAGCACTGCCTCATCTTCCTACGGGACTTTGGGCCTTAGTATCAGAACCTCATTTAAAACCATAAATTAATCCTCCCAAAGCCTCATCTGCCAGAGGTAAAGCCTGGGTTTCTACATATCATTTATTTTATTCAGCCACAATTTAAGATCCCAGATACATATCATAAAGTTCTGCCGGAAGTCTGCCACATCCGCTTTTCAGGTCCTTTTTACTGTTGTCTTTGCAAACACCATTGAGTGTAGAAAAGCAGGTCACATTGAGTTTTCCCCCAACAAATCTTTTTCTTCTCCTGATGGCATACGTGATACTCTTGTTTCCTTAATCTGCCACCAAAACTGTAGATGGTATTGACTGCACCTAGGCTTTCTCACAGTCCATACACAGTGGTTTAATTAGGTGCATGCAATCTCCTCCTCAGTCTGAAAACCTAAGTGACAAACCAGGACAGTTCCTCTCTGAGAAAGAACCCACGTTCCTTGCCCCCCCCATGGACTGCTGATTTCAGATAAACCATTTGCACTGATAATGAGGTGCTCTGTAGTTGGATGGCCAAGTGGTCTGGTAGGTTACATAACCCTCTGTTCCTGGTTGGCAGCACAGGTCACATAGTGATGTGTTGAGCCACTGACAATAGGAAAAGATTAGCTACATGGGTTTTTAGTAGTATACAGGTACATCCCCGGGCAGATCTGTCTGACCTTCCTCTTACCCTCATGAATATTTGCCTCCCCTTCAAAGGATCCTGCGAGTGTAAACTAGGTTTGGTCTGATAACTGATTGTAAAACACTATCTTTCTGTTTTAATTATTCAAAAACACTTTTGCTCATTTGACTTAGAAATTATCTGCTTATATAGATGACAACTGAAGTAAAATTAAAAGAACACGTCTTTAAGAATATCAGGATTGACATAAATAAATAAAAGCTGATTATTACAATGGGAATAGTGTTGCAGTAATAGAATCACAAACATCACAGTAAACCTCGAATACAGCTGATGAAGGTGAATTGAGGGGAAGATTGTACAGATTAAAATGAGGAGAATTGCACCCAACATTTTGAAACACCAGGCTGGGCTGGTGCAGTAGCTGCCAGGCTCAAGGCAGGCCTGGCAGCCTGGGGGCCGTGGCTTGGGCAGACAACGTTCTAGAGAACTCAATGACCATGGTCACATTATGTGTTCATAATCCAGCCTTAAACATACCATTGCTGGGCAGACGTCCCTTCTGAATTAGGTCGTGGTGGCCTCCGTTTTAGCTGGTTATTATGACAGAGTCTATTGTGATAATTACTGCCAGGCTTTGTGACTATGATTCTTTCTTATAACCACCTCATCTTATTCATAGTTTTGGTACTGTTGACCAAAATGGCTACTTTGGCTATCCTTTCAATTTTGTTCAAACACAGTTCTGAGAAGAGCTGTGCAGTCATCCTGCTCATGTCACTTCCAAGACTTCACAGTTTACTGCTCATATCACAGATGTCCCTGGGTGAGGCCACTCTCATTTCCACACTGACTCTGTTGTCCATTTTAGTGACCTACTTAGTGACCTAATCTCCATTGCATTCAACCACTTGGCCCTTGGTATCCAAGATCCAATCATCCTCATTACATTTTGGTTTCCAAATACAGTGGACACATTTCCCAACATAAATTCTGATCTACAACATCACAGTCACTTTATTTGCTAAGGATTCTGTGTATGCTGAATACTTTTAGTTATCACCCTGACATACCTGGATAGAGGGAGACTCTATTGTGGAATTGCTTCCATTGGATTGGCCTGTGGCCATGTCTGTGAGTGGACAGTGCCACCCCTCGGCAGGTGGTCCTGTGCTGTATAAGAAAGCTGGCTGAGCTCAGGCCAGGGGAGCAAGCCAGTGAGCAGCGTTCCTCCACAGCCTGTGCTCCAGGATCCTGCCCTGAGTTCCTGCCTTGGTTTCCCTTGATGATGAACTATGCTGTAAATCAAATAAACCCTTTCCTCCCCCAAGTTAGTTTTGGTTAGAGTGTTTCGTCACAGCGATTGAAGGCAAACTAGGATGCTGTAACGTCCTTCACAACTTTATTCCTTAGTTGACAAAAAAGGATTCTCCTCTAGACACCCCTAGTGCTGCTGTGCAGAGCGAGTTAGAGAACTGTGAGTGAAAACCCATTCCCTCATTCCAATAACCCTAAGTCCAACCCCTTCCCTCATACTGACCCCAAACAGAGCATGTGTTTCTAGTTTACTTCCTCTCTATCCACTTTCCCACCATAACAGCACTTTTGGACTCCCTAAGTTATACGAAATGCAGATCTCTGCTTAGCAGACCATCTAGCTCTGTCTGGACTTGCCCAACATTGTGTATGTTCTGTGATCCTCCTGGGACATCTACTGGGACACCCATTTCCAAAAATATTTGTTTGTGCAAATTAGAAAATTGAAGTAAATCATTTAGAGGACAGTGCACCTCCACATGGGCCATAATTTTGTCCTGCCTTCAGGGTTCTGTAGTGATTCTAGTTCACAACCATCTAGAAGCAAAAAGGGGCTGAGGAAACAAGGGAGTGTACCACGTGGCATTCAACTCGGGAGGCACAATCACCATTCTCTAAGGAAGTGTGTTATTGACTTCATTAGACAGATTGCGATATTTGTCTCCTGCCAAAGTTTCCCAGAATGAGAACTGCAGTGTCTCTAGCCTCATCTGTGTGTGGCACCAACCTATGTTGTACGTTTCAGAAACATGATCCTTCCCTATTTCTGTTCTAAGTTTAATCACTGACACATGTGAGTGTGGAGATTCAACTTATATTTCACGTCAGCCATTTACAGGATGAGATCCTGGATCTGAGTTTCAGAAATCTCAGACATGGTTTTACATGAAACACAAAATCAACTGAAACTGCGTTAAGTACTTATATATAAAACCCAAACCTCTAAAATTATTAGAAGAAAACTCTATAACATGAGTGTGAGCAACAATTTCTTGGCTATGACCTTAACATATAGACTACAATAACAAAAACAGAAAACTGAGTAATTTTAAACTCAGAAGCTCCTGCCTAGTAGAGGAACAAAAAAAAAAAAAAGAGAAAACCCAAAGAGTAACAGAAAAAAATTCAAATCGTACATAAATATGTAAGTAACTAAAACAACTGAATCAAACAACAACAATGCCCAGTTTAAAACTGGCAAAGCGGACGGGGGAGATGTCTCAGTAGATCAGAACTTTTCCTGCGTAGGCTCAAGGACCTCAGTCTGAATCACCAGCACCCCGCATTTAAAA